CGGTTGGCCAGTCGCCTTCCGGTGGGCGTGGCCCAGGACGCGCGTCGCTCCCGAGCGGGGCGGGCAGCCGTGCGGGGCTGGTGTGCACCGCCTGGCGGCGTTTTCAGGGCGTTTGCTCCGTTTCAGGTTCGTGCGAGGGGGCTGGGACTACAAGGGCCCCTTGGTGAGCACGACAGACCCGCTCCCTCCCTGAAGGGACAACCTGGTGCGTTCACGCCGCCACTGTGGAGGCCCAGCCCGAGCCAGCTCTGCGAGGCGTCAGACTGCAGTCCGGTGTCTGGGCTTCAGAGGCCAGGAAGGTCGTTCTCAGAGTAAGAGCAGAAGTTCAGCAACTAGAAGTTTGCCCTGATCTATGGAGACACCACAGAAAGTTATTTTTGGTGCTAATTCTTATTATGGCTAAGGCCCCTAATTTAAATTCTTTTAATTATTTTTTGGGGGGAGGGAGGGGGGTAGAAGTTTCTCTTGAGTGCAATGGGACTCAGTTGCCTTTAGCAGAAAATAATCCACATATCACAGAGGCTCATCTTGGGGCGACCTATTATGAAGCCCTACACGATGAAAGAAAAATGAGAAATTTGGGAAGGAGGGAGGCAGGCGGCACAGCAAGTACAAAAGTTGGAAGACGGGAATGAGCATGGTTTGAGGGGCGGGCACAGACAGAGAGATGGAAGAATGAAGCAGCAAAGACATGATGTGGGACTCATCCCACAGCCATGGGGGAAGACGGATGGAGGCAGATGCTCTAGGACACTTCCAGGAAACAGGCACGCCAGCATTTGGAACTTCAGACAGACAAGACGGACATACACACACACCTCTGCACGCACACACAGCACCAGGGTGGTTCTGTCCTTGGAATAGTCAAGGATTCTGCCGAAGGGGCTCGGTCTAAGTAGTTTCAAAGATTTCTCTGTCAACAGGGTGCTTGGAAAGCTTATTAAAAGCTCAGACTTAGCCCTGGGCTGGGTAGCTCAGTTGGTTCGAGCATCGTCTCCATACACCAAGGTGGTAGGTTTCAATCCCCGGTCAGGGCACATACAAGAATCAACCAATGATTTCATAAATAAGTGGAACAAAAAAATCAATATATATTTCTCTCTCAAATCAATATATTTAAAAAAAAAAAAAACACTCGGATTTCTGGGCCTCACCCTGGATACGTTGTCTCTTAATTTCAAGGCATACTTTTAGTCCCCCCCCCCCC